AAAAAAAAAAAAAAAAAAAAAAAAAAAGCCAGAGGAAATGGATTTTGAAGCAATTTTTAAATACTGTACAATTTTTTGAATTCCTCTGACAAAAACTACTTAACATACAATATTAGCTTACATATTTTTGTTTTAAGCTGTGGTGTCCTATGAGCCATGACACTTATTTTATCTCCTCTGATAAGTGATGCTAAGATTCTTTGGACAGTTGTTCCTTAAATACTGTTTAAAATCTTGGAAAAAAATGAAGGCAGTGCTCCTTTAAAACAGAATGGTTGAGGGATGCACTGTGCACCATAGTCAAGAATCTTGAAAATGGCTTTAACCCCAGTGAATATTATTATAAATAATCTCTTTAGCGATCACAGACTGGGGAGCAAATTAGAAGTCCGGGTCTTTGACCTGCCATTCATTGTTCTTTAACATTTCTCAGAAGGCTTTTCCTGCGTACATCTTAATTAAATCGGCATTCCTTGCACCTTTGTATTATAGGCAAAACAGCAGCTCTTTTGATGCGTCTTTGCAATGTATACAGCAGCTAAGGCAATTAAGTTAAACTAATACACTTAATTGTTGCAGGTCCTCCCCTGCTTACTGTAAAGACATGCCACGTAGAAGGGCACAGATACAACTATGTAGCAGTAATAAAGTTTTCCTTCCGCAAATTGTCCCTTTTCCACTCCTCCGTTACTGATAGTTTCCCTATTTATAACAGATTACGGGAACTAATTCATGGTACTCCTGACAGCTGGAAAAAGGAAGAAAAATGGGCCAAGCTGCATTTGGGTTTCAGTTCCCAGGGTGAGGCTTTCCAAAGTGACTCTGTGCTTACCTCCTAAGTGAGCAAGGCACTGTGTCAGGTACTGCCTTGCCCTGAACAACATCTGCCCTAGGGGATCTGGAGCCCCTGTCACACTATACCTTCCTTGTACAATGAGCTGTGCTGGGAGTCTCTGGTCAAGAGCCCTGTGGGCACAGGGTTTAAGGGCTTTAAAAATATTTGTTTTTTACTTGCATCAGATAGAGGTGTGGGTAGGGGAGCATCATACCACCACCAGGGATCTTGAGAATGGCGCTGACCCTAAGGAATTAGCTGCATCAGGGGAAAGGCCAAGAACCAAAGTGACCCCAGCAATTACACAGCCTTCTCTTACGCCTAGGCATGCTCGCTGTTCATCATGGTGAAAGCATATTGGCAGGGAGGCATGGAAAGAAACAGGCTGTCTCCAGAGGTGAAGTCCTCAGCTCTGCTTCAGTCCCTGTAAGCTGGATAAAAGGGACAGAGCACAGTTAAAGTCACTTCTATTTCACCCATTTACAACAGAGCTGGCCTTTAGTCCTCAGTGTGTTTCCGTTTTTCACCATCTAGGTCAGAGCTGCCAACTATTTGATATTCTATAGCAGAAGCATCTAGAAAATGTCACCACCAGTTGTCAGTTTGATAGAGATGCTTGTTAGAGGCTTAGCACCTTGAGGAGGCTATGCATAGGCCAGCCAAGAAGGAAGAAATAGTATGCTGCATGCTGCTATGGTTTGTTAGGGAAAAAGAAAATTATATAAATATTCAGTAACTGATTAGCTGTTCCCACTAATATAAAATCACCAATCCTCAGTGAACTAAGGCAATCGCCTGCCTAAGCTGCAAAGGGACAGTGCACCCTTAGCAGGAGAGGAGTTTCTTGTGTGTGAGCAAATCCCTGATTTGCACATACAAAGTAGGTCCTGCAGTAAATACAGAGATGGATGAGGATTGGATTATTCATGATCAGGCTCTCCTGACTGTTCTAACACAATAGGAGATTAATGAAGAAAGGATTGAGCACTTCAGGCTCTCCCACGCTGACCCTTGCACCTTCTTCTGTATGAGCTAAGAATATGTCTAGACCGTGGGACAGGTAGGCTAGCTCAGCTAGCAGTTCAGGGAAGACAGTGGTACAGGCTTCTGAGTAAGTACTTCAGAGTCTGGATGGGATTGAACTGAAGCCCATGGTGCTGCACCTTCACTGCCTTGTTTTCTAAACTATGTGGATTACAGGTTTCTCAGGTATGTCGGGGCTGCAGTCACAACACTGACTGCAGTGTGGGTATCTCCTCTGGGATAATTATACATGCGTCTGGAAGAGCATAACCCAGTATCAGTGTGATCTTGCATGTTGATCATGTAAATAAGCATTGTGATGTGGCTTGTATTAAATATTTGCTGGTTATGAATAATCTATCAGTCCATACT